GAATCAATGATTTAAACTGTATTGCATGTAGCATCCAAACTAAGACCCCTCAAGTGTGTAAGTTTAGCATCAAAAGCCTGAGCTAGAACCTCCTTAACTCTCAGAGAGATTTTAAGTTCCCGTCCCATCAGCTAATTTATCACCACCCAACATGGCAACTTTCCCCTTTCTCATTTGATTTATATTTTCTGTGTACTCATCCAACATTCAAAGGCTGCATGTACTATAGAAAGTTACATTCATTTGATAGAAATTGCTGGAAAAATTCGGCAGGTTTGACAGCATTTGTGAAGATAAGTCTGAGTTCTGAGGAAGGGTCACTTGACCTGAAACATTAACTTTGTTTTCTCTCCACAGATGCTGCCAGACCCATCGAGCTTTTCCAGCAATTTCTGTTTTTTTTTCTGATTTACGGCATCTGCAGTTCTTTTGGTTCACATTATTTCTTGTTCACTGCTCTTCCCTGCTTCCTTTATTAACTTGTTAATCACACCAGTGTGTGGTTCTAAGATGTTAAACGTGGAATGCAACATTAGACCATGAGACCATAAGACACAGGAGGAGAAATTAGGCCATTCAGCCCATCGAGTCTGTTCCACCATTCAATCATGGCTGATAAGTTTCTCAACCCCATTCTCCTGCTTTCTCCCTGTAACCCTTGATCCCCTTGATAATCAAGAACCTATCTATCTCAGTCTTAAATGCACTCAATGACCTGGCCTCCACAGCCTTCTGTGGCAGTGAATTCCATAGATTCACCACTCTCTGGCTGAAGAAGTTTCTCCTTATCTCTGTTTTAAAAGGTCTTCCCTTTACTCTAAGGCTGTGCCCTCAGGTCCTAGTCTCTCCTATCAATGGAAACATCTTCCCAACACTCACTCCATCCAGGCCATTCAGTATTCTGTAAGTTTCAATTAGATCCCCCCTCATCCTTCTAAACTCCATCAAATATAGACCCAGAGTCCTCAAACATTCCTCATATGTTAAGCTTTTCATTCTCATGAACCTCCTCTGAACCCGTTCCACGGCCAGTACATCTTGCCTGAGATATGGGGCCCAAAACTGTGCATAATACTCCAAATGTGGCCTGACCACAGCCTTATAGAGCCTCAGAAGTACATTTCTGCTTTCATATTCAAGTCCTCTCAAAATAAACGCCAAAGTTGCATTTGCCTACCTAACAATTGACTCAACTCCTCATACCCAATTCCTAGTAACCCTTTATTCCCCGACTGATCAGGAATCTATTTATCTCAGCCTTAAATGTACAAAAGAACCCTGCCCCCACCACTCTCTGGTAAGGAGCTCCAAAGATTCGTAACCCCTCTGAGGGAAGAAAATCCTCGTCAGCTTATTCTTAAATTGGCATCAAAAACAAAGTTGCTGGAAAAGCCCAGCAGGTGTGGCAGCATCTGAGAAAGAAAAAAACATCGTTCTGAGGAAGGGTCACCAGACCCGAAACGTTAACTCTGTTTCTTTCCTTCATAGATACTGCCAAACCTGTTGGGCTTTTCTAGCAACTTTGTTTTCGTTCCTGATTTACAGCATCTGCAGTTCTTTCGGTTCTGAAATTGGCAGGATTGGTTTGGAGACAGGGATGGCAAGGATTTGGGGAAGTAGCTTTGGTAAACACCACAGGGAAGGAGACAACCAGCTTCTGGACAGCAATTACGACACTACACTGGAAATGGCAAAGGTATTCCTACAGGGCACAGAGTTGTCACTGCCAGGCTTCAAGAAATTGGGAAGCAAATTTAGTTTTCATGGTGGCTACATGTGACTGCTGATCCATGGAAATGATGATTGACTCTCAAGTGACCCCTAGAGACGCCTGAGAAGCCCTTCATTTCAAGGGCTGATGATACCCACACCCCAATAACAAGAAAGTAAAAACAAGATTTGCAAGTATGATGCTGTAACCAAAGGAACAACGGCAGATTGCAATAATCCCACCAGAAATGGATTGTGAAGAAAGCTCATATGGATATTATAGGTTCTCAAGAGGGGGAGGCTTGACGCAGAATGTAAATAAGGATATTTAAGAGATGGAGACCCTCAATACCAGAGGCCACTAATAATATATTGCCATAAATTCTATCCGAATGCATCGCAGCTTGGTATGGCAACTGCTCTGCCCAAGACTGCAAGAAATTACAGAGAGTTGTGAACATAGCCCATTCCATCACACAAATCCATTGACTCCATCCCACTGCCTCGGGAAAGCAACCAACATCATCAAAGACCCCTCCCACCCCGGTTATACTCTCTTCTGCTCTGTTCTGTCATGTGGAAGATAGAAAAGTTTGGAAACACTTATGAACAAATTTAAGAGCAAGCTTCTTCCCCGCTGTTACCAGACTTTTATGATTTACAAATTACATTATTTTGTAATACATGACCTCTCATATATTACAGTTGATCTTTCTCTGCACCTTCTCTGTAGCTGTAACACTATATTCTGCATTCTCTTCTGTTACTCTGATGCACTTATGTAAAGCATAATTTGTCTGCTTAGCGCTCAAAACAATACTTTTCACTGTATCTCGGTTCATGTGACAATAATAAATCAAATCAAATCAAATCAGACAGAACCAAGAAATTCCAGAAAACCATTTTGATTTGTAGAGATTAATTGGAATGTTGGAGGTTGCTTCCAGCATGGATTGGTTGATAGGGTTATGAATGGGGGAAGCTAGGCAGAGCATGAATGAGATTAGAACAGGAGGGTATATCGATGGAGTGAGGCAAGTTATAGAGGAGGCACCAATGGAGAATAATCAGCTATAGGCTAGTACAAAAGAATGAATTATGAACAAGAGTGGCCATTTGAGCCCCACAAAACTGCTCCTAAGTCCAACAACATCATGGCTAAGCTGCAGGCAGTATGGTCCCTCCTATAAAGCCCCGATAACCTTTCACTCCTTCATTAGCAAGAATTTAATCTACATTAAAAATATATCCAAAAGTGTTCCTTCTGCCTCATTTTGAGGAGGAGCGATCCAACAACTTGTGACTCTCTGGTGAGAAAATGATTTCTCCTGTGTCACTGTCTCACGTGGGTGACCCCATGATTTTTGGGAGTTACATATCATTCTTATGGTTAAAGGGATCAAAGGGCCTGGAGAGAGGGGCAACAGAGAGCTGGAGATGGATGATCAGCCATGATCATATTGAATGGCGGAGTAGACTGGAAGGGCCAAATGGCCAATGCCTGCTCTTATTGATCTCTTCAGTTAGCTCAGATGGCTGGTTTGTGAGGCAGAATAACACCAAAAGCATGGGTTCAATTCCCACATGGGCTGAGGTTACAATGAAGATCCTGTCTTTGGGGCAGCACAGTGGCTCAGTGGTTAATTCTGCTACCTCACAGCGCCAGGGCCCTGGGTTTGATCCCATTCTGAGGCCACTGTCTGTTTGGAGTTTACACATTCTCCCTGTGTCTGCGTGGGCTTCCTGCGGGTGCTCCGGTTTCCTCCCACCATCCAAAGATGTGCAGGCTGGGTGGATTGGCCATGCTAAATTGCCCATAGTATTCAGGGATGTGTAGATTACGTGGGTTATAGGGGGATACGTCTGGGTGGAATGCCCTGAGGGTCGGTGTGTCCTTGTTGGGCCGAAGGGCCTGTTTCCACACCGTAGGGATTCTATGATTTTCCTACAGGAGAAACAGTCCTGTCAAGACCCCTCAGGACTTTTTGTGCTTCAATCAAGTCACCTCTTAATCTTCTAAATTCCAATCACAGAGGTCTACAGCACAGAAAATGGCCCTTTCAGTTCATTGGCTCTGTGCCAGTCATAAATAAGCACCTAACAATTCCAATCCCATTTCCCAATAATTTGGCCCATAGCCTTGGCATCATGAGTGGACATCTAAACACTTGTCATGAGGCTTTCTTCCTGTCTCACCCTGATAGGCAGTGAGTTCCAGATTCCCACCACCCTCTGGGTGAAAACGTTTCCCTTAAATCCCCCCTAACCCTCCTGCCCCGGCCCCCAGTCATTGATCCCTCCGTCAAAGGGGAAAAGGTTCTTCCTGTCTACCCTATCAATGGCCCTCATCATTTTGTACAGCCAGTGTATATAAGCCTAGCCTGTTCAACCTTTCCCTTGTACTACAACCTACCCATCCCAGGTCATGGTCTCTGAATTGCTTCCATCTCATCAAATTCCTATGCTGTAGTCAGCAGACTGGAGTTGCTGCTTCTTTTGCCTCAGTAACTGGACTCTGGCACTGACCCACACTTAACTCCAGCCTGACAATACCCAGTACCCCCTGACAATGTTCTGAGGAAGGGTCACCGGACCGGAAACGTTAACTCTGTTTTCTCCTCCACAGATGCTGCCAGACCTGCTGAGCTTTTCCAGCAACTTTGTTTTTGTTCCTGACAATACCCAGTTTGCCATGCTGCCCTCTAGGCTGCAATTAGCAGGGACTTTACTGAGAAGTGTATTTTGTGCTGCAGGCCCGAGCTCACCCTTCGGTTTCACTTCCAGTGGACAATTAGCTTTGGCAATCTAAGAAAGTTTTTATAAACATTGTTAGTGTTAATGATTACAAGAAAATTATTGACCAACACGAGTGTTTGAAATTGCACAGACTGGCTTCACTGCCATGCTATCCAGAGAGAGAGACGACAGTGTTATTTGAAGTTCACAGGGAGTTGTAGGCAGGTGAGGCATACTCGGTGATGGGCCATGTCCTCACTCTGCCTTTCGAAATGTCTCTGTTGAGATTGGAAGCTAAAAGGGTCCACTGTCTGGGAAATGATGTCATTGTTACGATACAGGAATAGATAACCAGACCAAATCAGCCTTGCTAACACTGGATTCTCAACATAGTGAAATTACAACATTCAATGACTCTCAAAGTTGCTCAGTTGTTCCTAATGAGACTTTACAAATAGCTGACCTTGGACACCAAATTTATATCTTTAACAAAACTTAACAATTTGTTTTAATAATATAAACTTTAGCAGAACACAGATGAACTATAAGGCAATCCAATTAATATCTATGGCATAAGTCATATTGTCTTTCATTATGAACTTTCACTCACACGGAGAGATACAGTTAAGGGATATTTTTTTTTTTAAAATTGTAAGTTGCCAGTTTGACAACTGTTTTGATGATGAATACCAAGCCTTCATGAAATCCGGGCATGTAGGTTCGTATCTTGCTTGATTTCTGGAGTTACCGGTAAATGTAAACAGCATTTGCAGATCTGCAGACTTGATTTGTTATAGACTGGGTTTCTTTTGTCTGGATGTTCAACAAGTTCATGACTGGAAAATAATTAGAGAGATCAAAGCCAAACAACGTTGCAGCTTCAAAATCTCAGTCCAACCCCATTCCTCCTTTGTTTTCCCTTTCTTTTTCAACGTGCTCTGTGGATGGCTAGCCAGCATTGGTCCTCACTTGATTGACCAATTCAACATCCAACCAGCTTTCAGTCCCTGAACATAACAACATCTCAGTGTTGAATCATCTACTGTGTCTTTAGAGCAGTAATTAACCTGTATTATCTTTCCAGGACAGTTCCCAACAGTAAACAGCAGTTATCTCCTCATTTTGTATTTCTAAAACAAGCTGCTGGTCAAAGTTCAAAGTCTAATTTTCAACTGCAACACCCATTTCCAAACTAAAAATTAAAAAAAATGTAAAAGAAAGATAACAATGGTCTCGACATCACCTTTTACGATCACCTCAGGACAATAAATGTCCCTCTCTCTCCTATCCACTTTACCTGCCCCATTGTCTACTGCAATGCAGAAGTTCCAAATTACTTCCATATCACCCTCGAAAAGTGAAGGACGAGAAGGAGCAAGGTGGGAGAGGGTGGGTAAGTGATTGCAGGATAGAATTTGAAAATTTGATGTGTGTAGCTTTCACCAACAGAATGTGCTAAGGCCCCAAGGAATTCATTTTTGAGACCTGGAATTTCAGACTATGGTATACAGGGCTCAGAAGGCAACCAAATACATTATAATAGATTGCTAAGGGTAGAGAAAGAGATGGACTGTGGAGAGCACTCGCAGATCCCTGAAGGTGGCTTGACAGGTAGATTACGTGGTCAAGAAAGCATATAGGACTTCTGCCTTTATAAGGCGAGGTGTAGACCATAAAATTTGGGAGGTCATACTAGAATTGTATTTGTTTTTTGTAAAGGAGAGGCCACTTTGAAATTTTTCTCACATTCCGTGTGCAACTAAACAAATATGAGAAAGGTAAGGTGTGCTATAACTGTGTGAGTTTCAGAGAAAAGTAAATTCCAAAGTAATAAATAATCCCTCCGAGGATGCTCTTCAGATGAATGGTGTGGACTTGATGGGCCAAATGGCCTGCTTCCACAGTATAGGGATTCTCTGATTCTATGGGAGGACCTGGGCTGTTCATAGAGGTGCCTGTCATTGATCGTGTGTTTACAGGATTAGATGTGTACATTGGACGGATGTGGCTAACAATGACGTCAATGTTGCGTGTAATTATCTTAACACAGAATGTATAAAAATGTTGTATTTGGCTGAGAGAGGCGAAGTGTCCAGTGAAAATTGTTCTCAAGGACTCTAGTCTCCCAGCTATAGGAACGATGTTGTGAAACCTGAAAGGGTTCAGAAATGATTTGCAAGGTTGTTGCCAGGGGTGGGAAGTTGATCTATACGGAGAGGCTGAATAGGCTGGGGCTATTTTCCTTCGAGCGTCGGAGACTGAGGGGGTGACCTTATACAGGTTTATAAAGTCATGAGGGACATGGATAGAGTGAATAGACAAGGTCTTTTCCCCAGGGTAGGGGAGTCCAAAACTAGAGGGCATAGGTTTAAGGTGAGAGGGGAAAGATTTAAAAGGGACCTGAAAGGCAACTTTTTCATGCAGAGGGTGGTGCGTGTATGGAATGAACTGCCAGTGGAAGTGGTGGAGGCTGGTACAGTTACAACATTTAAAAGGCATCTGGATGGGTACATGAATAGGAAGGGTTTAGAGGAATATGGGGCCAAATGCTGGTAAATGGGACTAGATTAATTTAGGAAAGCTGGTTGACGTGGATGAGTTGGACCGAAGGATCTATTTCCAGGCTATACATCTCTATACATCTATAATTCTATGACTTCTCCCACTCTGCATCGGGAAAGAGCTCTGAAGAAAGATCGACTTGTACTGCTGAACACAGGAACACAAAACTCCTCTTTGAAACCTCACCACAACACACCCACATATTCAGCTCCTATCTCTCACTCACAGTTTCCACTGTCCCTCATCACTCACTAACATGATCTGCCTCTCATTCCTTTACAGGTACTGGCCTTCAGAGAGGCTGTGCTGGATTGAAAGGAGAGAACATCGTCATTGTACCAGCTTAAAGCCAATGTTCTCCCACTTGCCCATGATGCTGTTTCACATGGAAGTAGTCCTGTTTGGTAGCTTCACCAGGTTAATGCCCATGCCACCAGCTGTCTCGCTGTATGAAACGCAAGAGCAGTCTGCTAATACTATGCCGACTTTACATTTCTCTTACATCGAGTAGAGACCTGAACTTGCAGCCTGAAAGTGTGATAGGGACAGAAAGTCCATTACACTCGGGAGCACTTGGGTCTGCAGTCAACCTAGAAACCTAGAAAGCTGCAGACCAAGTGTTGGGAAAGCGCTAGGCAATCAATTGTCTCCTGGTAAGGACATGATGGGCTGAATGGCCTCTCATTCCATGTTGTAAATTTTGATGCTTCTGTATTAAATCATCAAAAGTATCCCCTGTGAATGTTGATGCAAAAACGTGTTTAGAAATGTGAAATGGAATTGATTGTGTACTGGTGAATAAGTGCTAGTCAGGCCAGCAACGCACGGTGAGCACATTGGACATTGCCCTCACTCTGTTTCCCTGAAATCCATCACTGAGTGTGGAAGCCAGAAGTATTCCCTCTCCAGGAAATCTCTAAGTTGTTTATTGCCATCTCATAACAGGAAGTATCTCACTCTTCCTCCCATCTCCGTAGCTTACTGCAGAGAAACCCCTTTGCAAACTGAAAGCTCCAAATGACTTACACATTCCGAAGGAACATCTCCACACAGGTGCCTGTGGGTGACCTGCTGCTGAAAATATCACAATGAGAATGAGAGGGACAAGAGGCAGCAAAAAAAAGGTGGACAAGCAAATCAAGATAATATTTTAAAATATTGCTGGTTATAGATTTGTTCAATAGGACGCACTGTTTCCATTGGCATGTCTCAATATCAACCTGATTCGATCATCCATAATCACTGAAAATTGTAACAATACAAACCTACAAAGACACATGAATGTGCAGGGATTGGCCAGATACTGAGAGAGCAGTATAGAAAAATAGAAGGAGCATGGAGTATGTGTGAGGGACAGCGGGCAGTTACATAAAGTGGCATAGTCACTATGTATATAGATTGGACTAACAGGAGCTGCTGTCCCATTAAGGAAGTCATAGTTTCTAACCAGTTAGATTTTTGATAAGGTCTGTAATCCTAAAGTATACGTGAATGTTTCAATTAATCAATAAATCAAATCATTTCTACAAAATACTTACTTGGCTGCTCTTGCATTTGCGTATCTTCCTGCAAATTAACATATCACTTTTCAGAAAACAGGAATCTGAGTTCATACTCTAGTAAACTATAAGCTGTTTCATTTTTATTTATTTATTGTGCTTGATTTTATCAAACTATAATCAGTATTTGGTTTGGATGAAGTTTATAACTGTTGGTGTCAGATCTACAAAAAGCTGACCACACTTGGAATATTACTCAGATTAGGATAATCTGATAAAGGAATGTCACACCAAGATGTCTTTAGTTTCTGCTAATTATGCAGGCATTATTATCAAAGCCTTGACTTGATGCCCATCTCTCATTGCCCTTGAACTGTGTGGCTTTCTCACTCATGTCAGGGAGCAGTTAAGAGTCAACTACATTGTTTTGGCGTCTGGAGTCACACAGGTAGGCCAGACCAGGTCAGGATGGCAGGTTTCCTTTCCTATAGGTGGTTAGTGAACGAGATGGGATTTTTATGACAATCTGATAAATCCTGTGATTGGTCTGGTGGAGTTTTCCGACTGATAATTATTTCAGTGAGACTTACAGGGTGCCACAACAATGCTACAACATTAAATATTTACAAGAAAGTTTCACCATTTGACATTGATATCTTCTCAGGTTGCTTTAAAGATCAAAGTAGTGCAATTTTCTCTAAATTGAAATTTACTTCCTTAATTCCTGCTAAATAAAATATATCGAATTAATTAGTGAACTTTATTTTAAATGCAGCTTTTTCTCATTCAAATTCAGTTTCATCTCTGCTGTTGTATAATGCATACTTACCAAACTGCACAACCTATTAGGCAAAGAACTAGCAAACCAATTATGCAGCACACATTACTCGGGACATGGTACGTGTCTTCTTGACACAACTTGTATTTTTCATCTACAAAGGAGATTGAAGTTTGTTTATTAATCATGTTTAAATTGTCACAATGCTAGACAAAGGAACAAACCGTACCGCCCTTTCAATGATGCTGTCACTTGTTGCCCAAGGTATTGATAGAACGCCACAGTGCCAGAACTTCGAAACAAGCATCAAAGGCCCGAGATTACCTGGTGGTGAGGATGAACTCTCCTGTGTCACTCTCCCCCCCGCCCCCCCCACCCTTCCCCACCACCCCCACCCTCCTAGCTGCCCTCAAACTGGCTGTGATGGGGAAGAGACAGTCGCTACAAACTCCTTTCTGCAACATGACTTTGCTGGAAAGCGTCCCAGTGATTCTGTTGACATGTTGGGACAATGTGTTCTTATCAGAAGGGAGAACAAAAGGACAGAGTATTATTTATATGGGGAAAAGATGCAGACAGCTATAACGCAAAGAGTCGTGGGTTGTAATTGTGCATGGAACACAGAAAGCTAACACACAGGGCAGCAGGGAATCTGGAAGGCTCAAGGAACGTTGGCTCTTATTTTAAGAGAGTTGGAGTATAGGAGTGGGGGTGTCTTATTGCAACTGTACAAGGTGCTGGAGAGGCCCCATCTGTGGTACTGTGAACAGTTTTGATCCCTTTATTTATCATTTCAATGGAGGCAGTTCAGAGAAGCTTCACTGGGATGATCCCTGGTATGGAAGGATTGTCTTATGAGCAAAGATTCAACAGGTTGGGACTCTACTCACTGGAATTAACAAGAATGAGAGGTGGCCTCATTGAAACATATCGAATTCTGAAGGAATTTGACAGGGTCAATGCTGAGAGGATGTGTCCCCTCATGGGAGAGTCTAGGACTAGAGGGCATAGTCTCAGAATGAAGGGGCACCAATTTAAGACTGAGATGAGGAGGAATTTCTCCTCTCAGTGGACTGCAAGCCTTTGGAACACCTTGTCACTGAGAGCTGAGGGGGCGGAGTTCTCATGTTTATTTAACGCTGAGACAGATCGATTCTTGATCAGTCGAGGAATCATGGATTATGGGGAAAGGACAAGAAAGTGGAGTGTCAGATCAGCCATGAACCTATTGAATGGTTCGAGGGACTACTCCTGTTTCGATTTCTTAATGCAGCTAGTAACATAGAGCATTGAAAGAAACTGATCTGATTTGCTCCGTAGGAAATATCATCTTTGAATAGACGTAGCGTCATAGATTCATACATCATATAAAAAGACCCTTCGTTCCAACTACTCCCTGCTGACCAGTCCCATTTGCCAGCATTTGGCCATATCCCTCTAAATCCTTCCTATTCATGTATGTATCCAGATGCCTTTTATATGTTGTAATTGTACCAAATTCCACCACTTTCTCTGGCAGCTCAATCCATGCACACACAGCCCTTTGTGGGAAAATGTTACCCCTCAGGCCCATTTTAAATGTTTTCCCTCTCATCTTAAACATATGCTGTCTAGTTTTGGACTCCCCTACCCTGGGAAAAAGACCTTGGCTATTCACCCTATCCACACCCCTCGTGATTTTATAAACCTCTTTAAGGTCACCCACACTTTTATAGATTTCTTCAATAACGTTTCCTTTTGGACAAACTGGCATTTTTAACAAAGAGTAAACAATGATCTCATTCTGTTCTTCATGGTCCATAATCCAGTCTCTATTCATTCCTTTGACCTATGTCTTTGGATTCAGATTTTAACCTTAGAATTGAGTCTCATTCCAGATAATGCATTGCAGAATAACAAGTTGCAGTTATAGAGCAATGATAACCAAAACCTGTCTGAAGATGCAGAATTTGATGCAATGTGAAGCAAGGAGATCTCATAACCAAACGTGAGTTGAAGAAGTAGGTTTTAAGGAGAGGTTTAATGGGGGAATGACATGTCAGGGTTTAGGGTGGGAATTCCAGGACTTAGGAGCCAGGATGCTGTTGACGTCATTGTCAACAGTGGAGTGAGGGGCATCTGGAATGAGCGGAGATCCAGAATTGGTGGGGTACAGAGATCTCAGATGGTGTAGTATGATTCAAGGTGCAACTTAACTAGACTGAGTCCCTCCGTAAATACAGGAAGGATACGAATGCTGATGCTGAGAATAAATGGAAAGGTGTGTGGATGTTCCTGATAAAGAATTCCACAGGTGGGCTATAGCGCCACCCCCACCTCTGGAAGAAGGATTCGACTGCACTGTGACAAGTTGGCATCAGTAATTTCCATTATAAATATAGATGCAGAATCTATCGCAGGGCGAGCATTCATAGAATCACTACAGTGGGGAAGCTCATTGAGTCCACATCAGCCCTTCAAAGAGCATCCCACCTAGACCCACATTCCCCATCCTATCCCTACAACTCTGCATTTCCCATGGCTAACCCACCTAGTCCGCATTTTTAGCACTTTATCATTAGAGATTTTATATAAACAACAGCATTATATTCAATTAATCCATAAATGTCATTTTTAAAAAAAAGTTTAGTACTTACTAGTTATATTAAATTGCTTCTCCTCCTGATTTCTGTCATTCTTAATGACACATTTGTAAAATCCACAATCAGATTCGTTAATATGAGTAATTGTCAAAATAATGCCATTTTCTGATATTGAGTGTCTGCTATCATTGGTCAGTGTTTCACCATCCTTTTCCCAGTTAAATTGTGGATATGTTCCTTTTTCAATCTTACATATGAAGGTTTGATTGCTGCCTTTATTGAACTGCTCATTCCATTCAATACTGGGTGTAGAAACAGATTCTGTGAATAACAAAAGGTTCGAAAAAGCAGAGAACCCAATTACAAAATAATGCACCAAGCAAGATTGATCTCCAGTCTTTGAATTGATATATTGTCACATGTTCCTAAGTACAGTGAAAAGTTTTGTTTTGTGAACAGTACAGGCAGATCATAGCAAACAGGGAAATACAGCTCACAGGGCACTTAGACAGAGTGAGGCATGCAAGGTTACACTGCACAGGAGGTTCACAAAAGCAAGATCAACATTATTTGAAATTTGAGAGGTCCATTCAGCAGTCTAATAACAGCAGGGAAGAAGCTGTTCTTGAACCTGTTGGTGCGTGTGTTCAAGCTTTTGTGTCTACTACCTGACAGAAGAGGTTGGAAGAGAGTATTACCGGGGTGGGAGTCCTCAATGAATGCATTATAAAAAATGTGAGAGTTATTTTTCTCTCAGAGGGTTGAGAGTCTTTGCAACTCATGGCCATGGAGTGCTGTGGGGACAGAGTCCTTGTGTCTGTTTAAGGCTAAGATAGATAGATTCTTGATCAGTTGATGAATCAAAGGTTATGGGGAAAGGGCAGGAAAGTTGATGGATGTGAGGAATGTTGGGTCAGCCGTGATCATATTGAATGGTGGAGCAGGCTCAAGGGACAGAGTGGCTTACTGCTGTTCTTATTTCTTATGGCCTTTAGTCTTAAGGTTCTGAACCAGATCAAAACTAGTGGCTGTGCTTTCAGCTGTCTTGGTGTCATCTCTGCTTCTCTCTCCAAACCAAGCGTAATTTATGTTTTAATGCATTGAATTAAAGTGAAGGAACAAAGGGATTTAACAGATGCAGGAAGGATAAAAGCCTCTAACCTTTGGCTGAACCTTAGTTGAACCACAGTTACAGCACTGTACACTGCTCACGTGTCTGTAATATACCATGTCTCAAATGAAAATTGACAGGGATGATCCCAGAATAGGGCCCGAACAGAAGAGGATTAATTTCCCTCGTAAAGGGATGGCTGACAGGTGGCGTTAAAATCGCGAAAGAGCATCATAGAATCATCAAAAGTTTTGGCACAGAAAGAGTCTGTAGTGTCTCTGCCAGTTTGTTGACGGACTTGTTCCCATAATCCCATTCCATTTGATTGCTCCCTTGCAATCTCCTCTTTCCCATGTATGCAGGGAAGTGGTGCTGTTATCACTGGATTAGCTAACGACCTGGGATATGAGTTCAAATGCCCAACATGACAGATAGTGAAATTTGAATTCGATAATTAAAAATCAGGAGGAGCAAAAAGCTAGCTTGATGTTGACTATGTAACTGCTGTTGATTGCTATGGAGCCCCTTTGTGGTTCACTAATGCCCTTTAGGGAAGGTTTGTGCTGCCCATAATCTTAGTGTCATGGTGGAACAGTCACTGAAGGTTGGCATGCAGATGTAACAGGAGGTGAGGAAAGCTAATGGCATGCTGGCCTTCACAGAGAGAGGATTTGAGTGTTGGAGTAGGGATGTCTTGCTGCAGTTATACATGGCCTTGGTGAGGCCACACCTTGAGTATTGTGTGTGGCTTTGGTCTGCTAGGCTGAGCAAGGACATTCTTGCTACTGAGGGGGTCCAGTGAAGGTTCACCAGACTGTTTCCCGGGATGGTAGGACTGACATATGAGGGAAGTCTGGATTGACTGGGCTTGTATTCGCTGGAATTGGAAGAATGTGATGGCGGGGGTGGGATCTCATAGAAATAAATAAAATCCTGATTGGACTGGATGGGCTAAATGTGGGAAGAATGTTCTCAATGTTGGGGAAATCCAGAACTAGGGGTCAGAGACTAAGAATAAGGGGCAAATCATCCAGGAGCAAGATGAGGAAGAATTTCTTCACTCAGAGAGTGTGAACCTGTGGAACTCTGTCCCAGAGGAAGCTGTCGGGGCCAGTTCATTACATATATTCAAGAGGGAGCTGGACATGGCCCTTTCAGCTAAAGGGATCAAGGGGTATGGAGAGAAATGGGAATGGGATACTGAGATTGCATGATGAGCCATGATCAAATTGAATGGTGGTGCAGGCTCGAAGGGTCGAATGGCCTACAACGGCACCTATTTTCTATGTTTCTATCCACCTCTATCAGGTCACCCTTCAACCTTCCCTGCTCCAAAGAAAACAACCCGAGCTTATCCAGATTCTTTTCATTGCTAAACTACTCCATCCCAGGCATCATCCTGGTGAATCTCCTCTGCATCCCCTGCCCCAGTAAAATCACATCCTTCCTATTGCATGGAGATCAGAACTGCACATAGTACCCCAGCCATAAATGGCAAAAGGGATGGTGTAGGAGGAATGGCATGAAATTTTTGGATTATTGGAATAGCTTCTGGTGTAGATGGGCCCTGTACAATGTGGATGGCTTATACCTGAACCAGAAAGGATTAAATATTCTCACTGGGAGGTTTGCTTGTGCTGTTGCGGAGATTTTAACTTGATCTGGCAGGGAGGTGGGACTCAGAGTAGATCTAAATTCATGAGCAAGGTCCAATCAGATATGGAAGGAATACTAGCACAGTCCAGTAGGTGGAGATATTATTAAGCTAGAGAAGGTTCAGAACAGATTCACCAGGATGTTTCCGGGAATGGAAGGTTTCAGCTGGAAAGAAAGGCCGGATAGACTGGGACGTTTTTCACTGGAGTGTAGGAGGTTGAGAGGTGATCTTATAGAAGTCTATAAAATCATGAGGGGTATAGATAGGGTTAAAGGTAGGTGTCTTTTCCCAAGGGTGGGGGATTTCAAACTAGGGGATACAGTTTTAAGGAGAGAGGAGAGAGATAAGACATGAGGGGCAAAATTTTTACGCAGAGGGTGGTTCATGTGTGGGATGAACTTCCTGAGGAAGTGGTAGGTGTGTGCACAATCACAACATTAAAAGACATTTGGATAAATACATGAATCAGAAAGGTTTGGAGGGATATAGACCAGGAGGAGGCAGGTGGGGTGAGTTTAGTTTGGGATTATGTTCAGCATGGACTGGTTGGACTGAAGGGTCTGTTGCCAGCGGTATGACTCTGTCATGGGCAGAATAAGCTTCATCGGGGGTCTAAAAAGCTAAATTGCATCTATTTTAATGTGAGGACCTTGACTGCTAAGACAGACGAATTGAGAGTGTTGATCAGCACGTGGAAATATGAGATTGTTGCAATCACTGAGACCTGGTTGAAGGAAAGACAGAACTGGCAAATCAACATTCCAGAGTCTAGAATTTCAGGCATGATTAGGAAGCATGAAAGACAGGTATGGGGATTATATGAGATAACAAGGTGTAGAGCTGGATGAACACAGCAGGCCAAGCAGCATCAGAGGAGCAGGAAAGCTGATGTTTCAGCCCTAGATCCTTCTTCATATTCTTGGTAAAGGAAACCATCACTGCAGCAATGAGGGAGGACGTCCTAGAAGGCTCTTCAAATGAGGCCAACTGGTAGAGTTTTGCAACAAAATAAGGGTGATTACTTTGGTGGGATTACACTGCAATAGTCAGAGGGAGCTAGAGGAGCAGTCATGGAAGCAAATCACGAAAAGGTAAGAGAGAAACAGGGTTACAGCTGTAGCGAATTTCAACTTTGCTAACATTAATGGGATTATAGACCTTGTCAGTCTGCGCCACCGCATGCTACCCTCGAAGTGGCTGCAGGTTAGGGGGGAGGTGTGGAATGTATCTTTGCAAAGGAAGTCTGGAGGAAGACGCAATGGTTTGTATCAAGGTTCGTCCCGAGCAGCTCTGTGATGCACGGCTCTGTGCTCTATGGTCTGTTTCCTAGGACACACATTGAGACAAACATCGACTGCCCTTGGAGGACCATCAACTTGGTGAGAGACAGGTCTTTGGTCTGCCCGAAACTTGTTGGTCTTCCAGAATGAGGAGTTGACCCTGACTGAGTGTTGCAAACTGGCACAATCCAAGTCCAGGACTATGTGCTGAGGGACGCACTGAAGCTCAGGGGTAGCTGCTGTCCAGGTACGTTGGGGAAAGACCACGGTCTGAAGTCTGTCTGCTGAAGGTAAATGGGGGCCTGTTCAGTTATTGGACCCTCCCAGTGCCTCAAATATATGTAAATATTTGTATTGTATGTGTAAGAGAGGCCTTTGGTTTTTTTTTGGGATGGAGTCAAAGTCCAATGTTTTGTTTGTTAACTTTATATCAACTATACAGAACAGAACTGCTTTTCTGACAATGTATATATACAAAGACAATTTTTATAAATAAAGTACATTTTGAAATAAAAAAAATGGGATTGCCTCAGTGTGAAAGGATCAGAGGGGGTAGTATTTTTAAAGTGCATCCTTTTTGTGCCAGAACGTAGATAGTCTTATTTGAGGTGGGGCAGTGCTAGGTGCAATCCTAGGGACTGAAGCTGGTCAAATGGTTTGAAGTTTCAGTGAGTGAGCATTTTGAGATAGCGACTATAACTCTAAGTTTCAAAGTCCTTTTGGAAAGGGATGCATTTTTCACTGAAGTGTCTAAATTGGCAACTTTCAATATGATTAGACAGGATCTGTCAAACATAGACTGGGAGCAGTGTCTTGTAGGTCAGTCTACATTTGGAAAGAGGGAATCTTTTAAAAGTAGTACAGTGAAAATTCAGGTCGAGTGGCTTTCTCTAATAGTGGAGGGCAAGGGCAGTAAGTCCAAGGAACTGTGGCTGCCAAGGGATTTCAAGAGTTTGGTAAAGAAAAAGAAGGAAGCATGTGTCAGGTACCCTGCATTTAAAAAAGGGGAGTCAAAAGATGTAAAGTTGGAAAAGCACAACAGGTTAGACTGCATCCGAGGAGCAGGAGAGTCAATGTTTCGGGCCGAAACCACGAAGAGAGGATATGGGAGGCAGGGAGGTATATTTAATACTTTGAGGTTGTTGACCTGCTCGCTGAGCTGGCTTATTTTCATTCAGACTTTTCGTCACCATGCGAAGTAACATCATCAGTGAGGCCTCCGATGAAGTGGTGTTGTTCTACTCCACTTTGAAGTTATACTGTCTGGCCCATTATGGTGAGTGCTGTCATTTCTAGTTTTGTCCTGTATGGGTTTATATATGGGGTCCAATTTTATATGTTTGTTGATTGAAGTATGGGTGGACAACCATGCCTGTAGGAATTCCCATGCATATCTATGTTTGGCTTTGGCTACTATGGTTATGTTGTCGCAGTTAAACTGATGGCCTTCATTGTCTGAGTGTACTGATATTAATGAAAGTTCGTCGTGTCGTTGTGTTGCTAACTGACGTTTGTGTATTCTGATGGCTAGTTTCCTTCCTGTCTGTCTCATGTAATGCTTGTGGCAATCATTGCCTGGTATTTTGTAAACTGCGTTAGTTCTGCATGTTGTGGGAATGGGGTCTTTAATCCTTGTGAGTGGACCGCACAGTATAAATTCCAAGCGGAGTAGAACAACATCGCTTCATAGGAGGCCTCACTGATGATGTTACCTAGCATGGTGACGAAATGTCTGAACGAGAACAAGCCAGCTCGGCGAGCATGTCAACAACCTCACCCACAACCTGAGCTACAGATCTTTGCTAAAACCTTGTGTATTTAATACTTTGCTAGTCACAGGTGAAGTGCCAGGTGACTGGAGGATAGATAATGTGGTTATTTTGTTCAAGACATGCAGGAAGGATAGACCAGTTAGTCTCTTGTCAGTAGTAAGGAAGGTCTTGGAAAAAAATTCTGAGTGACAAGATTACTCAATAGTAGGAAAGGTAGGGATTGTTCTGGAGTAGTCAATATGGATTTGTTAAAGGGAGATCCTGTCTGACAAATTTAATTAAGTATTTTGAAAAGGTGAGTATGTTGATGAGGGCAATCAAGTTGTAGTTGATGTGGTTTACCTGGATTTCAGTAAAGCTTTTGACAAGGTCCCGCAAGGTCCAAAAGGTAAGAACCTATGGGATCCAAAGTAAGCTGGCAAACTGTCTCCAAATTAGGTTTACACACGGGAGGCAAAGATTGATCTTGAAGGGGTAGTAAAAACTGCTGATGCTGGAGTCAGTGATGACACAGTGTAGAGTTGGAGGAACACAGCAGGTCAGGTAGCATCAGAGGAGCAGGAAAGTTGATGTTTTGGGTCAGGACCCTTCTTCAGATCTTGAAGGGATGTTTTTGTAATTAGAAACCTGCGACCAGCAGTGTACCACAGGGGCTGGTATTGGAACACTTGTAGTTTGTTATGTCCTTTAACAACGTGGATGTGAATGACAAAGCTATAATCAGTAAGTTTGCAGATGTCACAAAAATTGGTGGTACCAGTCACAGTGATGGGATACAGCCCTTTATCCTAACCCCCAACAGGGAAATATGAACAACTGGAACACATTGATTTCTGAGTCCTGGTGCCTTTTCATTCATTCATTCGCCCAAATTAACCTGCCAACAGCAAGAAAAGCCAAAGCTTTAAGCGCTCATTAATCACTCACCGTAGAGTTTGGCTGTAAACTGAACGTTTTCCGTTTCACCCGCTTCTGAGACGAGTTCGAGGCTATAATTCCCCACATCTTCAGGAAGAAAGTTTCTCAGCGTTAGCGATATGTTAGCTTCCTGCAGTACGCAATTCCCTTGCTCTTTGGTTGTATCCCTCCAGCTGTTCTTCTGATGAAGTTGGCATTCCACAATCTCTCTCCTCCCGTTGTCTTTTTTCCAAGTGCCACTGTAGATGGTGTCCTTTGGCTCCAGTGTAAACTTGACAATCAGCGTGAAGTTGTAGCCAGGGATGAAATAAAACTCGGTCGGCCCAGTTCCGACCCTGATCGGTGCCAACACCCCTGCACAGAGGAAAAAGGGCTCATGTCACTTGGAGCTTGAAGTTTTGAACATCCCAATGACAAGCTGCCTCCACGAATAGAAAGGTGGGCAGTGAACATACAAGGATGGTTTCAAAATATTACCCCACTTTCCATTCTGGATCAACACAACAAATGTCAGAGCAGCTCCCTATTTAAACTGGTCGCACAAGTAGATAGGGTGGTAAAGAAGGTGTATGGCATGCTTGCCTTTATTGGTTAGGGAATTGACTACAAGAGTCAGGATGTCATGTTGCAGCTTTATAAGACTTTGGTTAGGCCTTGCTTACAGTACTAAGTTCAATTCTGGTTGCCACATTACAGGAAGGATGTGGAGGCTATGGAGAGGGTGCAGAAGAGGTTTACCAGGATGCTGCCTGGATTACAGAGTATGAGCTATAAGGAGAGGCTAGAAAAACTCAGGTCGTTTTCACTGGAACAGCGGAGGCTGAGGCGAGACTTAATAGAAGTCTACAAAATTATGAGATGCATAGATAGGGTTGATGGTCAGAATCCTTTTCCCAGAGTTGAAATATCTAATACTGGGGAGCATGCATTACAGGTGAGGGGGGGAAAGTTCAAAGGAGATGAGAAGGACAAGTTTTTTTAAACAGAGAGTGATAGGATTCTGGAAGGGATGACGGTGGAGGCAGATACAATAAGGGCATTTAATGGACTTTTAGATAAGCACATGAATATGCAAGGAATAGAGGGAAATGGACCAAGGGCAGGCAGAAGGGATTGGTTTAATTTGGCATCATGTACGGCACAACACTGTGGGCCGAAGGGTCTGTTCCTGTGTTGTACTGTTCTATGTTCTATACTAACACAATGATGAGATCCGTTTCCTTGCTTAATATCTCCTGCAGTTACATCTGACTCTTCACTGACCTTTATTCTTTCATGGGGGAAAATGGTTGTCACTGGCAAGTTCAGTATTTGTCCATAATTGCCCTGGAGCTGTGTGGCCTGACCATTATAGAGGACAGTTAAGAGTCAACCCCTTAGCTGTGGGTCTGGAATCACATGTAGGCCAGACCAGGTAAGGACAGAGATTGCCTTCCCTGATGGACAATCGTGAAACAGGTAGTATTGTTTTCATTATGCAAGCAATGAATGTTGTATGATCGCCATGACTGGAACTAACTTTTAATTCCATCTTCTTGAAAAAAAAATTAAATTTAAATTGCATCAGCTGCTAGTATGGATTTTGAATCTTTCTCCTCAAAGCTTTGGCCTTTTTTTTAAATTCACTCATGGAATGTGGGCATTTCTGGTTGGGCCAGCATTTATTGCCCTGCCATCATTGCTCAGAAGGGCAGTTAAGAGTCAACCATGTTGCTATGAGTCTGGAGTCGTGTAGGCCGGATAGGTAAGGATGGCAGTTTCCTGTCCCTAAAGGACATTAGTGAGTTTGTTGATTTGTTCGCTGGTAGGTTGGTTTGCAGACATTTTGTCACCGTATTAGGTAACATCATCAGTGTGCCTCTGATGAAGCTTTGTTGGTCTGTCCCTCTTGTTATTTATGTTGGTCCTGTCTGATGTGGTGGTTGGCATCATTTCTGGTTCTGCTTTGTAGTGGTTGGTATATGGGGTCTATTTCCACAGGTTTGTGTCCAACCTCCACATCAAACCGGACTGCATAAATAATAAGCAGGACATACCCACATCGGAGGCACACTGATGATGTTACCTAGTACGGTGATGAAACGTCTGCAAACAAACCTACCAGCTCAGCCAAAGAATCAACAAACTCATCCACAACCCGAGCTACAAGTCTTCTCAAAAGCTTTGGACGTTAGCGAGCCTGATAGGTCTTTCCCCAGCAATTGACAATGGATTCACGGTCATCACTGAGCCCTTAATTCCAGATTCTTTAAATGAATTCAAATTCTACAATCTGCCATAGCAGGAGTTGAACCCAGTTCCCTGGAACATTTACTGAGTTTCTGGATGAATAGGTCTAGTGATAATACTGGTAGGCCATTGCCATCCCTAGCTAGTGATTATCCACCCAGGAAATTCAGTGTCACCTCCTTCCTCATTACCATTACACCACGATCTCCATCAAATTGCACTTGATAACTGTTGTTATTATTTATTAATTAACATTGCTAATTAGTGCCATCCTCCCCTTCTTAAAGGAACAGCATAAATAAACATAACAGTGCTAATGAAATATAACCCATCCGATTAAAATTTGGCTCTAATTATCCCTGCAGTCCCTTTCCTAGCCATCAGTGAAGACTGCAGGCTTAGCTGTGAGCCTCTCTGTCTGAAGCCCTAATTACAGATGTGACCCTCAGAGAGAGGCAGCCATTTGGGTTGAAGGACTCCAGGAGGTAATTCCAGCTGGAGGTCTTACCAAACTGCCTCCCTCCTTCCTGCCAACCAGCTGTGAAGATCGGGAGCTGCTCAACAGGGGCAGCCTTCAAACTTCACCTTATTCCGAGCAGGCGAGCAGACAAATGCATGGTGAATCCTAGGAAGCACCAAGGATCAGAGGGGCCTCGATGTGCATTTCCACGAGTTTTTTAAGGTGGATGAAGTGGTAGAGAAGGATTTATAAGACACTAGCCTCTATTTGTCAAGGCACAGAGTGTGACAGCAGGGATGTTATGCTGGAACTGTCTAAAATATTGGGTAGGCCACAGATAGAGTATTGTGGCAGTTCCGGTATCCACATTAGAGGAGGAATGTGACAACACTGAAGAAGGTGCGGAGGAGATTTACTGGGAAGTTGCCTGGGCTGGAGAGTTTCAGTTACGAAGAGAGATTGGACAGATTTGGATTGTTTTCCTTGGAGCAGAGGAGACAGAAAGGGGACAAGATTGCGATATATAAAATGGTGAGGGGCATACATAGCATAGACAGAATGAAACCTTTGACCCTAATAGAGGGATCAATGACCAGAGGGACAGGAGGTTTAGAGATGATGTGAGGAAAAGCAGAGGGTGGTGGGAATCTGGAACTCACCTCCTGCGAGTGTGGTAGAGACAGAAACTCCCATAACATTAAAGAATGGTTTAGGTGTACACTCACAATGCTAAGGCTATGGACCAAGTGCTGGGAAATGGGATTAAAGTAGTTGGGTGGTTGAATTTGACTGGCATGGACACAAGGGGCCAAAGGGCCTTTTTCTGTGCTTTCGACCTCAATGACTCTAAACTGTGACATGGACTCCAAGAGAGAGGGACAGCAGCTATCTTGAGGCTCAATCTACCAAGGGATCGCATCCCTGAGAAAATACTGACAGCTCGACTGCCATTACCAATGGTGCAGGAATGGCAACTAAATCCTTCTCTTTGTATCCCATTCATCTTTATAACAGCCGAGAGCTATGCTGAGAGAGACAGGCTGTAGAGAGAGAGAGATAAAGAGAGAAGCAGAATCATTTCACAACCTTCAATGCATTACATTCCTAATGGATTACTCCTGCAGTTTGTGAGAGACATTTCTCCTGTTCATTGCTGGCTGACAGGGCACTGACGTCACAGTGTTTACATTCTTCTCTCCTGACTCTCCAGCAATTAACTAAAAATAAACATGAGACCCAACAGGTTGCATTCCATCGTCAGCTGGGTTTCATGTCAAGAGCATATTTACCTGCAAGAGCTTCAGTCAACTGAGTCTTGCAAAATAGACCGGGTCTAGCGCTAGGTGCTGAGGTTAAAGTTTTGGGGCAGAGGCACAGTAGGGTGAGTATTTAATTTCCTTTCGTCACAATAACTGAGAGGTATACGTCAATGATAAACATGATCTGTGAGGTGGAGTATATAGTATTTAAGGAAATGCACATTAATTACGTCAAATGGCATGTAACGTGCTTTCAAAAATGTGATGAACAAATATGTTTTCTGTGAGAGAAAGGCCGCAGAGTTGCTGCTGAAGACTCTCAATGCCCCTTCTAACGTGAAACTTGTCCATGCAAAGATCTGTGTCTATGTCAACTTTTTTTTTCTTTATTCATTAACAGGATGAGGGTGTCACTGGCTAGGCAGCATTTATTGTTCATCCCTAATTGCCCAGAGGGCAGTTGAGAGTCAAAAAAAATTGCTGTGGGTCTGGAGTCACATGTAGGCCACACCAGGTAAGGATGGCAGTTTCCTTCCCTGAAGGACATTAGTGTACCAGATAGGTTTTTCCCTGACAGTCGGCAATGGATTCACGGTCATCGTTAGATTCTTAATTTTAGATATTTTATCGAATTCAAATCCCACCATCTGCTGTAGCAGGATTTGAGCCCAGGTCCCCAGAATGTTATCGGGGTCTGTGGATTAACAGACCAGCGCAAATACCATTAGGCCATCGCCTCCTCATTTTCTCAACCCGAGAGAGATGGAGGGAGAAGGAGCAAGGTTGGGAGAGCAGGAGGGAGAAGGGACTTAAGGTGAAGTGGTGAAGGTGTGGAAAGGAAGAAAAGGAAGAGGAGAGAGTGGGCAGGAGAGTCAGCAAGGGGAGAAGGGGGAGTGGGGAGAGAGAGGCAGAGGAATGGGTGAGGGGAAGGTGGAATCTATAGTTGTGAGGCTAGAAAAGCACAGCAGGTCAGACAGCATCAGAGGAGAGGGGCATTAAGGGGAGGAGAGAGTGAGGATAGGGAAGTGAGAGGGAGAGAATGAGTGAGAGATAATGGGAAAGAAGAGAGTGGGGTTGAGTGGGGAAGGGAAAGACAGAGAAAAGTGGGAAATGGCAGACCGAGGGTGAGCTGGGGGAGACAAAGACAGTAGTCTATGGGAGAGTGAGCGTGAGGAAAGAGGGAGAGGGGAAGAATTGAGGGGAGGGAGAGATTACATGGATAGTGAGCCTACAGAGACAATAACAGAACTCAGTGAAGTGAGGAGGTGGAGGGGCAGAGGGGAGAGAGTCTGGGGAGGGTGAGGAGAGAGAGTGAGGTAGGGTTGATGAGGAGAATAGAAAGGAGAGTGTCGGATGTGTTAGACACAACGAGAGAGAGAGACGGAGACAGTTGAAAATAAACAGAGAGTTGAGGGGAGACAGAGTACAGGTCGAGTGAGGGGCAAGAAAAAGTGAGAGGCAGAGGGAGAGACGGAGATTGGAGAGAGTGAGGAAAGACAGAGAGACAAAGGGAGAGTGGAGGGGAAAGAAACAGAGGTAGAATGAGTAGAGAGAGAGAAGCAGAGGGATGAGAGAGAGTGGGGAGATTGGAGAGAGAAAGATTCATGGAGAATTGAGGGAATCAAGAGAGGACAGTGGGGAGACAGGAGGTTTCAGAGCATTGGACAGAATAGATAGATAATGCCTCCTTTGCACTACCCCTGGAAATACAAATACTTCCTGAATTAATTCTGAAATGACTTACCAGTAGAATATGTGGGATTATTTTACCTTGCCCAAACAATGAAATTTACTGCCTATTGAATCCCTGCCACATTTACAACACCTTGATTGTGTCAAAAAAAATTGGCTGTGCAACCTCAAACAAATAGGACATAGAAGCAATAGCTGCTTCCAGTCAGGACGATTGAGATTCCAGTCCCAAACGGCTGGGATTTTTTTACACCGATGCTTCAATTTTTTTCAACCCAGAGGGTGAAAAGTAAACCAAAATCCCCATTGACCTCCTTCTTGCTACCTGCTCTATGAAACCTGCGCTACCCAATAATGACCAAATCTACAAAGTTTTCCAGGCTGCTCAAAGTTTCCCCACCAGCACTGGGGCCCACAACACCGATAGCAACAGTTAGACTCACATGTGAAGAACACAAACACCAAGAGCAGCCTGAAGACCCTAGATCCATCTTCCATCTGATGCCAAAACTTCTCCGGCCGATCGTGGAACAAGGAGAGGTCCAGTCGACAGAATGACTGGCGTATTGGATGGATAAGTGTCAGCGCGGGAGATCAAGCTGGTGTGTGACTGCTTTGCATTTCTCTGAGCCTTTTGAAAACAAATCACGTAACGTGTTTGACACCATCCAATAGTATGAGGAAATAGAAAGAGTCAGGTAAAATTCCAGAAATAGGTGGACAATGACTTGGACAATGCATCTCAGTAGTTTTGACCCTCCCTTTGTTGGTCTTATTTACTTCAATTACTTTTCATAACAATGTGCAAGGTGTGCACTAACAGAAGCTCAGTTGGCTGGATATCTGGCTTGAGATGCAGAGTGATGCCAACAGCACAGGTTCTAATTCCTGCACCAGATAAGGCTGCCATGCTTTTGCCAGTTCCTCAACCTTGTCCCTCAGCTGAAATGCGGTGACCCTCAGGTTAAAACAGCTGCCTCCCTTTCTTGAGAGTGCGGCCCTCCAGGACTTTACACACCTTAAACCGCGTGGACGGAATGGAGTTACAAAATGCTCAGCAGGTCAGGCAGTATCTGTGAAGGCTGGAGAAGTTTTGACACTTCAAGTTAGCAAGCTTTCAATAACTTCAAGCCCTGGCAATGTTTTGCCTTGCTGCTAACTGGCTGAGATGAAAGCAATCAGTGAAGAAGGTTATCTAAGATTCCAAAGAGATCATGATCAATTGGGTCAGAGATAGTATGAACTGCTGATGCTGGAGTCAGAGATAAGACAGTGTCAGGGTGGAGGAACACAGCAGGCCAGGCAGCATCAGAGTAGGACAGTTGACGTTTCGGGTTGGGACTTTCTGAAGAAGGGTCCCGACCCGAAATGTCAACTTTCCTGCTCTTCTGATGTTGCCTGGCCTGCTGTGTTCATCCAGCTCCACACTGTGTTATCATTGATCAATTGGGTCAATGGGCTGAGGTGTGGCAGATGGAGTTTAATTTGGATAAATGCGAAACATTGCGTTTTGGTAAAAAAAACAAGGGCAGGAGTGATACAATTAATTGTAGGACCTTGCGTACTGTTTTTGAACAGAGAAACCTAGGGGTTCAGGCACATAATTCTTTGAAATTTGTGTTACAGGTAGACAGGGTGGTTAAGAAGATGTTTAGCATGCTTGCCTTAATTGCTCAGTCCTTTGAGTATAGGAGTTGGGATGTCATGTTGAGGTTGTACAGGACATTGGTGAGGTCTCTTCTGGAGCACTGTGTCCAGTTCTGGTTGCCCTGTTTAAACTGGAGAGGGCTAAGAAGAAATTTATCAGGATGTTTCCAGGAATGAAGGGTTTGATTTAGAAGCTGGATAGGCTGGAACTTTTTTCACTGGAGCGCAGGAGGTTGAAGTGTGACCTTATAGAAGTTTATAAAGTCATGAGGGGTATAGCTAAGGTGAATGGCAGGTGTCTTTTCCCTAGGGTGGGGAATTTCAAGACTAGGGGGCATATTTTTAAGGTGAGAGGAGAGAGATTTAAAAAAAAAGACTATGAGGGGCAATTCTTTTACACAGAGAGTGGTTCGTGTGTGGAACGAACTTCCCGAGGAAGTGGCAGATGCGAATTCAGTTACGACGTTTAAAAAACATTGAGATAAGTGCGTGAATAAGAAATGTTTGGAGGGATATGGGCCAAGCGCAAGCAGGTGGGACTAGTTTAATGTGGGATTATGTTTGGTATGGACTGGCTGGACAGAAGGGTCTGTTTCAGTGCTGTTGACTCTGACCTGTTCATAGTGGCCACCACACAAAGACTGCCTACAACGTTGCATGACTTTATGACTTTATGACTTTATCTCTTTATCTCTCTCTCTCTCTCTTTCTCTCAGATCATTGCCCGTCCCTATGTTAACTTGTGGCAAGTCCCTGCTTCCCTGTGCTTGCTGGCCCACATTGGCTTGAGTAAAGCCTTGATGTTCAAAATTCTTCACCGTGTTTTCGAATTCCTTCATAAGACTGTAAGAGCAGAAGATACAGGAGCAGAAAGAAGCCATTCAGCCCATCAAGTCTGCTCCTCCATTCAATGGCTGGTCTGATAACCCTCAACTTTACTTTCCTGCCTTTCCCCCATAATCCTTGACTTCCCTTAACTGATTAAAAATCTTGAATATATTTGATGATCCTGCCTGTACAGCCTGCTGCAATAAATGATTCCGCAGAATGAAAGATTCACCCTCATCTTTGTCCTAACTGGGTGACCCTTTATTCTGAGACAATGCCTTCTGGCCCTAGAGTCTCCCACAAGGGGAAAAACAACCTCTCTACATCTAGAGATAGTAGGAACTGCCGATGCTGGAGAATCTGAGGTAACAAGGTGTAGAGCTGGATGAACACAGCAGGCCAAGCAGCATCAGAGGAGAAGGAAAGCTGATGTTTCGGGTCTGGACCCTTCTTCAGAAATTTCAGAAATTCAGAAGACCCTTCTTTCTGAAGAAGGGTCCAGGCCCGAAACGTCAGCTTTCCTGCTCCTCTGATGCTGCTTGGCCTGCTGTGTTCATCCAGCTCCATACCTTGTTATCTCTCTACATTTACCCTGTCAAGTCCCCCCAAGAATCTTTCATATTTCAATAAGGTCGCCTCTTATTTTTCTAACTTCCAATAGATTGAAGCCCATTTTCTTGAACTCCATGTGCACAGTTCCTTCCCTCTCCCTATTTGTGGAATCTCCTCCTGGACCCATAGATCTCCTAAGTATTTGCGCTACTCCAGTACAGGCCTCTCGTGCAGTACTGTTGCTGGACAGTGCATTAACCCAGAGAAGCACAGGCGAAAGAGACTCATTGACTGACCAAAAGGCTGTTGACTTTTCAGTGCAGAGAACTGTCCACCACTGAGTGTTGCAGTCTGGCACATTTCATGGCCTCAGGCAATGTGATCAGGAGTTGCAATCGCAGTCATTCTCCACAGAGATACATTGAGGATGAGCCACACTCTTAAACCTGATACCGCCATTGTACGCCAAGAAACTAAAAGCTATGGTATCCCTAGGGTTGTGTGTTTCATATGTAATGAACACTGTAAATAGGAATTACAATGACAAATGGAAGAAACTAATTTGGTTTTGGACCTAACATAATGTCAACTTTGAAGGAACGTGTTCTTAATGATCATTTTTACTTTAGGAAGAGAAGAAAATTCCCAATTATAATTGCTCCTGTGATGTGGCCTTTTTCAAATATTTACTTACAGGACGTGGGTGTTGCTGGCTGGGTCCAGCATTTATTGCCCCATCCCCAGTTGCCTCCTTGAGAAGGTTGTGGTGAGCTGCCTTCTTGAATGCCTGCAGTCTATGTGCTGTAGGTTGACCCACAATGCACTTAGGGAGGGAATTCCAGGATTTTGACCCAGCGACACTGAAGGAACGGTGATATATTTCCAAGTCAGGATGGTGAGTGGCTCAGAGGGGTATTTGCAGTGGGCGGTGTTCCTATGTATCTGCTGTCCTTGTCCTTCTAGAGTCATAGAGCTGTACAGCACAGAAACAGAGCCTTCAGACCAACTTGTCCATGCCGGCCAGATATCCTCAATTAATCTGGTCTCGATGGAAGTGGTTGTGGGTTTGGAAGGTGCAGTCTGAGGACCCTCGGTGTATTTCTGCAATGCATCTTATAGATGGTACACACAGCTGCTGCTGAGCATCAGTGGTGGAGGGAATGGGTACCTTGGCCAAGTTCTAGAATGTCTTCCCTATGCCTCCCACTTTTTCCTCCTTCAAGATGTTTGTTGAAACCAATTTCCATGACCAGGAGTTTATCCAGTCTCCTAACATTTCCGCTTGTGACTCAGTGCCAGACTTTGTTTTATAATGCTCCAGTGAAGTTGTTTTATGTTATTAAAAGTTGCTATAGAAGTGCACATTGCTGTCGGTGTTCATTTACATGTATAGTCAAATCATTCTAAAACAATGGTGGCCACTATACAGAGTTTGTCTCAGAATCAAGTATGTCATTTTAAAGCTACCTTCCATCTGCTTTACTCATTGAAACATAGAAAGTAAGAACAGCAGGAGACCACTCGGGCTCTTCAAGCCTGTCCCATATTCAATATGATCACAGCTGATCATCCAACTCAGTATCCTGTACCCAGACAACAAGGTGCAGGGCTGCATGAACACAGCAGGCCAAGCAGCATCATAGGAGCAGAGAGGCTGACGTTTCGGGCCTCGACCCTTCATCAGAAAAGGGGGAGGGGAAGGGGGTTTTGAAATAAATAGGGAGAGAGTGGGAGGTGGATAGGAGAGGGATAGAGGAGAGGATAGGTGGAGAGGAAACAAACAGGTCGAAGAGGCGGGGATGGAGCCAGGAAAGGTGAGTGTAGGTGGGGAGTTAGGAAGGGGATAGGTCAGTCCAGGGAGGACGGACAGGTCAAGGGGGCGGGATGAGGTTAGTCGGTAGGAGATGGAGGTGCGGCTTGAGGTGGGAGGAGGCCTCAGTGGTCAAGAACGCCCTCAACCGCAACTCATCCCTCACACCCCGTCCACGCAATAAGAACCAATAAAAATCCCCCTCGTCCTCACGTACCACCCCACCAACCTCCGGATCCAACGCATCATCCTCTGACACTTCCGCCATCTGCAATCCGACCCCACCACCAAAGACATCTTTCCCTCCCCACCCTTATCTGCTTTCCGGAGGGACCACTCTCTCCGTGACTCCCTTGCCCGCTCCACACTCCCCCTCCAGCTCCACCACACCCGGCACTTTTCCCTGCAACCGCAGGAAGTGCTACACCTGCCCCCATACCTCCTCCCTCACCCCCATCCAAGGCCCCAAGAAGACTTTCCACATCAAGCAGATGTTCACCTGCACATCTGCCAATGTGGTATACTGCATCCGCTGTAGCTGGTGTGGCTTCCTCTACATCAGGGAAACCAAGTGGAGGCTCGGGGACTGCTTTGCAGAACACCTACGCTCGGTTCGCAATAAACAACTGCACCTCCCAGTCGCGAACCATTTCAACTCCCCCTCCCATTCCTCAGACGACATGTCCTGGGCCTCCTGCAGTGCCACAACGATACCACCCGAAGGTTGCAGGAACAGCAACTCATGTTCCGCTTGGGAA